CTAAGCTGATCTCTTCGCACTACAAATGACTGTATTTTATCGATTTGCAGATGAAACTAAATTACACGTATTACAGTATCGCGCTTTCTTTACTTTTTTTTGTGATAATCTTGTCTGCATCTAAATTTTAATAACCTGCACGCTGACGCACAGAAGTTTCTGCTATCGATAAAATTGCTATAATTCGTCGATGAGCACCGGGGCACCTACGGACGATACTTAAAACTACATAAAAATACGCAATGATTCGACGCGCTACGAGTATTTGAAATAATTACCACACATACGCCAACACAAGACACGACACTGAAGGCACAGAGAACGAGAACGAGAACAAGACCGAGATCGAGATTGACATTTGCAATAAAGCCACCTTTCAAAATCCGTGGATAACAACTATAAAAGTGTTTAAAAATAGAATGAAAACGATCGCATTGGACACTGGCTGGAAGTGGAGAAGAATTCCTTGCGCATTGGCCTTCGCCTTCGCCTTCAACAGCACCATCAGCAAAGCCATAGTCAGAGACAGAGTCGGAGCCGTCGTCAGCGTCATCGGCAGAGCCATCGCCAACGTCATCGGCATTGGCATCGGCATCGGCAAACGGTGATGGCCATCGTCTCCGTCAGCCGTGGCGGCCGCGCACGCGCACACATCAAGGTAATCGTAAAGGCGCGCGCGCGCAAAAGACCAATTTCTGCCATTATGCCAATATCTAGGAGTGTTGGACATTACGATTGCACCGGCGTACGAGTGCGCACCTATTTTTAATATCAGCCTGCGTTGGGCATTCATTTGAAATTATCTCGCATAAAGTGCATGCCATGGCACTTGGAGGAGGCAAGGAAACAAACAAAAAAAAACCAAAAAAAAAAAAAGAAAAAGTTACAATAACAAGAAATAACAACAAACAACAATAATACAAATAATAATAACAATAAGAGATAAAATAAAATGCGCAAATAAAGCAGAKTCCATCAAATAAAGTTTTAAATGAACAATGGGATCCGGGGTTCAATTCGGTAGACAACGACAAATTGTTGAAATGAAAAAATAAATACTATGCTCGTTATAATCGTATGCTCTCGTGCGGGTACGAACGCTAGAGCGCGCACACTGCCCCACACACAAACAGAAATCCACCTTTCTGTGTATGTGTGTGTGTGTGTGTGTGTGAGATGAGAAAAATACGGGCAAAAATATATGGATAGGGGTATGAACCTGGCTACGGGAATAATACAAAAGAGCCGGGCGCGAACGCACGCGAGCGGCCTAGCCAAACGCATTAAACCATACACTAAGCCAGCGCTATATATTTATATGCCACATATATACATACATACATACATACATACATATATACATACATAAGTATGTCCGTTCGTATGTAAGCGCACCTTCTCATAGCTGGCATAGTTAGTGTCCCAACATAAAGCCATGCATGCCACCAAGCTGATGGTCCCACTAAACGCCTGTGTATGTGTGCGCATGCGTATAGGTGAGTTGCTACTAAGACTAACTATGGAAAAAACTATTTCCGACCACAAAACCACAAAACGTGATACAAAAAAATACAACACAAAACAATAAAAACAAAAACGAATAGAATAAGATAGAAAAAGCAGCAAGTTGGAAGAGGAATATTATAAGAATCCCACTGGAACGGAACAGCTTCGACGTCTCTGTCTTTAGGCGCTATTGTGCACCGTTTTACGCTACAGTGGCGTGAAAAATTATGTACATATATATTTACTTAGTGTTACTTTTGCAGCATTAATAGTGGGAGGTCAGCGAGTTTAAATCCGTAAATTCATGCTATGGAGTTAGGTTGGGTTAGTTCTGATGAACGATTTTCCCACACTGAGATACTATAAAAAAGGCGATTACTTTTTTGATACCCCATAAAGCGATATGATCTATTGCAAGAGCTCCACATATAAGATTGGATGAACCGTTCTTACTTCTCCCTGGACTTTGCAAATATATAAGTTAATTTACTGAGGCTACACTCCGGAGCAGTAAATCTGCCGTTACTTATAATGACAACAACCTCGACTTGAAAAATAACCAGAACGTTTGAAACTAAAGTTGATCCAACCATCACCATAACCTACGAACYATACATAAAGAAGCTCATTGGAGTTAGTTCGGATGGAATGTAATATKTAAACAATCGGATCAATTGAGGTGCCATTTTATGGCATTTATATTTTATCGTAATAATCGCCACTTGTGCTCGCTATTCATCGTATTGTTGAGGATTTCGAGCGTACATTTACTTTACATAATCTGCAAGTATCAAAGAGGTAAAAGAACCACTCGGGGTAATTACCGTGCTACCGTTCAGGCAAGTGTTGTTGAAGATCGCAATGTGTCGATTYCAAGACGTTCTTAATAATTGGTACTGTCTCAAACAACAATCTCCTATTGATAAAGGATTTGGGCTTGCATCCATATAAAATTGTTCTCAAACAAGAACTGAAGGCATAAGCATCCTGTATTTGCTGATTCTTTATTTGGAATAACTTGAAAACGATAATAATTTTTTTAAGAAATAAATGAAAATGGTCAATTCTGATGCGAAGAAAATCCGCAAATTATTCATGAACAACCATTAGATTCACCTAAATTGACAGTTTGGTCTGATTTTTGTCCAAGAGAAATCATCGGTCCGTACTTCGTTCGAAATGGAGCTGGTGAAAYCGTTACTGTCAATGGAGAGCGGTATAGATCRATGATAATMAACTGKTTATGTCCGCARTYGRAGGAAAAAGTTGATWTTCACTACATCTAGTTCCAACAAGAAGGTGCTACGTGCCACACAGCACGTATAACAACMGAATTATTGCGATAAAAATTTCGAGATTCGATTATTTAAAAGAATTGCGACATTAAATAGCCTCCAAGAAGTTGTGATTTAACACCATTGGACTACTACTTGTGGGGTTATTTGAAGTTATTGGTTTTTRGCAACAAATCAGACGCTCTGTCAATATTGACATCATGACCYACRACTTRATTTAGWGGAAAAAGTAAGTAGTAGTATTTTTATAAGAAATCATATCATTCTTATTGGAAAATCCTCTATAACATAAGATAGCTTCCTACTCAATCAAAAAAAGTCGAGACAAATAAAGAAAGTCTAATTTAAACGGATACTAACACAAATGTAAAGGCATAATTAGATAGTATGAGGTGGATTAGAAGAGTCTATTTTGATATGGCAAAGTAGGAACCAAGGGCAGGTAAGGAAATCGTATTCTATTGAAAAAMGAGCTGAAGGCGTTTTTCTAATAAGCTCGAATAGCATAGGATTAGGTAAAATAGAATCCGATTGGAACAAATTTACGCCGAATMTGATGAGGTAGAAGYGCATACTATAATATGGACTAGCAACAYTCTGCGCTTATGAGTAGTATAAAAATGGATCGAAGAGAGAAATTCGAATTGGWTGAAATCAACACCGGAAATAAACATAGAGAGTTAGTTTTCGAGGAATAGGTCCAAAGAAATGTTGAGTTTATAAAAAAAATTAAATTCGAATAAAAGCGTCTGCAAGGGATAGTGAGAGAGAAAGAAAGTGAGAAAGAGAGAAAAGCGAGATAAATAAAGTGAAACAGCAAAGAAAGGTGCAATTACTTAGTAAGCAAAYCTTTGCAACGAGCTCAAAATCGTAGAGCGGGAGTGTAGTAATATTTCTCAACGCCATTGTACATTTGGAGTAACACCCGGAATCTTGTGCGCCTCTCAACGCTTCCTTTTTTACCAATATTTATTTATGCGCTACGTTCAGACGCCACTGCCATCGCCACCGCCATCGTCACTGCCATCATCACTGCCACCGCCATTGCCAGCATACGGTGACCATTGTGGCCACCTTCGCCAAACGACGCGAACGCGGACGCGCATTGATCTCGCTGGCATTCTTCACGGCTATGCGATAATGTCTATGCTGGTGTATGTGCGACTGCATATACACGCGTGTGTGTGTGTGTGTTTGTGTGATGTTCACAGTTCACATATCCCATTTATCCGCATATCCGCCTATGCAACAACAATGACAACAAGCAAGCAAGCAAGCAACCATCAACCAAAAAACAAACGAACGAACGAATGCGCCGTTTGCCTGTCCRCTGGGCCGATTGTCCAATTGTTTGTGAGGGGCTACGGGCAGAGGTAGTGGAGTCGGCGGGAACTGCTCGAAGTCACCAGCAAGAACTTCATTCTTAACCTTAGTAACCGTGAACTTGATTAAAAAGCATTTCGCACATCACTCAGTTCACCAAACGAGCGCGCAAGCGGCAACAGCAACAACAACAACAACAACAATAACAAAAACGTTAATAAGAACAATGCGAGCGCAGCGATAAAGGCACAAAAGTAAAAACCAAAATCGAAACAAAACAGCGGCAAGATTTATATGCAGGTATGTATGTAACTGTATGCATTTAGTGTATGTGTGTGTGCTTTTATGTTTTTACAAATGTATGTGTGTGTGTGTGTTTGCGTTTGTTTGGGCATGCTGCGTGGAGCCGTAGGGCATGGAGCAGCGCTGCCGCGATCGCATCACATTGGCAGTCGCCAGCACAAACGTTACCTGTGCTCAAAGAGCAGCAGCAACAACAACCAAAACAACAACAAAAGCAAAAGCAACTTAGTGACTCTAGGTTTGCGGGTGTTGGTGTATATATGTATATTTTTGTATGTGTGTATGTACGAGTTGACTTGCCACTGCCAGCGTTGGCTCAAAGGATTAATCACACACACACRCACCCGCACACAAGCGTATTTGTAAATAATAGCCGAGTCAAAAACGTAGCGAAGCGACAAAGCGACAGTGCACACACACACACAAAAAAAAAAAGTCAAAGCAGTCAGTCCAACGTAATTGTGTGCATGTGTGTGTGTTTGTAATCGAAGTCACAAAGCCGCAGTTAAAGACGAAGCCGCCATGGTTTAAGAATTCTTCTGCCAGTCTTTGACTTCAACAACTTTAGAGTTCTTGGCTGTGCGGTGTTTGTGTCAGTTGGTCTTTTGCAGCGATCAAGAACGAACGTGTCTTTCACTCGTTCACGGAACAAAATATAATTTTACAACTACAAATATCCTTACAAATATATATACATATACATATATATATAGCAATATTGTGGTGTAGTTCTATATATAATAGTGGAACAAGTTGAAAAATTGGTTATTAGTGTTCGATTAATTGGCGGAAAGAGTCTCTCTTGTTTTGTGTCTTCACGTAGCAGAAATGGCGAAAATTATTTTAATCTGTTTACTGAGCGTGTTAGCCTGCGTCTCAGGTTTGTACAAAACTCCATGCATACACAAAATACATAATAATATTTAAGTGCAGAAGATCGTTTTTGAACGAACRGAAGGTTTCGAATAAAAATTCGAAAATTTTTATTAGATATATTTTTTAGTTGCAATTATTGTTACGGCATGCTTTTTGTACAAAAGTTTTTCAAGAACTTTTCGTCAGCATTCGTAACGCGTATCTCGTTTRAATGCAGCTCCAAGCTATATCTGAAGTTTTATACAGATGAGCATGRCATATTTTTGAATTTCTCTGAAGTCCTGTATGTATCTGGCGGAGGAAAATTGTAAAGTTGCAAGAATGTTGCTCARCATTTCATTCAAAGAATCGCAAAGCAATTTTTATATTAAAGGCTATTAAAAAAAAATCTTTTATCGGGATTTTGAAATATTTTTTTGTAAAATAAAAATTAAAAAATTTAAAATTAACCTGCATTGTAAGTTTTGTGAAAAATGGAAATTAAAAAAATTATTTGATCTAGATTTTTGAAATTTTTTTGGTGAAACCATACATAATTTATGTATGATTTTTCGTTAAACAATCGCCTTTTTTAATTTAAAAATTGTTTTTTTTTCAGATTTTTAAACTTT